ATAGTCGGTAACAACTTGGAATGAAAACAAAATGTGCGAGATGAATGGAAATTTGAAGGAAAAGGTCATGATGGCGTCATTTTTTTAAATGACCTGAACCAATTAATATGAGTCGAATGTTACTCCTAATAAGGTAACCTTGAGAGCGACTGACCCGTTCATATAAACTCGGGAAACCGGCCGGGCTTGCCCGCAACGGGACGATGCTTGTCGTCTAAACGCATGGAAATTTTTAGCTCGGTTACCGCGAAATGCAAAAGAGAAAACCAAGGAGTCGCCACGCACAGTTCTATCTTCCATATCCGTCTTAGCGTGGCCAAGTCGTGTAACGAACTTAAATGCGGAAGAAAAAACACTACTAATTCTATGAAGAACGCCGTGAGATAATACAAAGTGACGTCGCGACAAGTAGGGGCCAAATCATCCCCTGAATTTTTTATTAGAGGCGCGCGGTGAGTCACGGGAGAAATCCAATATGACGACTAAGCTCTTTTGGGGAAATCTTACTCCGGATCAAATAAATCAGTTTTTTTCGGAGAAAAAGCGAGGAGTACATGTCTCGTACAGAGGATGACTCAGAGTTGCGGGACATATCACGAGTTTTTGCTGAGCTAGAAGCGGCGGTTTAAATCATCGAAAAGAAATTCATTACAGATAGTGTTCGAAACCGTGACTTACAACAGTTGATACCCATCCAAGGAATAGATAAGAACATTGAAAAAGCTTCATGAAAAGACAAGTAGAAGACTGCGCTCGAAACCAGCTTTAGCGACACCGTGGAAAGGAGAGTTTACCATGGATGTACCCCAGGAAGTTTTTGATTTGATCTACCGTAAAATTGTACACTCCAACAACTTTGGCCATCAGTCGAGGGAAAGACCAGCCTGTACTGACATTGAAATCACGGACAGGAGAAAGGCAATATTTATTTTAAACAAACTGAATCAAGATGGCATTCTTATTAGCCGTGATCATCTACTCAGGAAGTATTTGGGAAAGTGTGCTGGTGGTGTTCATGCGCTTGAGAGGTGTGGAGTTGTTGTTTGTGGAGAAAAACCTATGAGATTTAAATATCATTACAACACAGACGTTTTATCAGTCAACTCTCATTATAGTTATTGCAATCAATTCGGCGTTCCACAACACTAATTCACGTGTAAAAGTGTAGAGACGTAAAAACAGGTTGTTGAAGTTTCAGTTCTGACTGTATCATTTTATTATGGACATTGCAAGGAACTACAGGGCTGTCCTCAGCACTAAGAAATAATTACCAATAATTTTTGCAGTGATTGTTGGATTCTTAAACAAATGCTCCGTCAGATACCTGATTTACCAACTGTAAATTTCGCAGTAACTAATAATTGTATGTATTGTGCCCATTGTTTATGGATAGAGTTGAACCTGTAAATAACATAAATAAATAAACAAATATACATTTATATAGCGCCATTTTCCACTAATTGTCCATAACAGCCCTGTATTAAGCAGCCACCCCCTTTTAAGCAGCAATTCACTCAGCTAAGTCCTACTTTTTGGGTACTCATATAAGGGCTGTATTTGTTACCTTTATTATGCAGCCTCCAGTATTATGCAGCCAATTTATAAAAAGCCAAGCGTGGCTGTCATATACAGGTACATGTAACGTTAATTGTATCACATTAGCACTGGCCAACATTTTTGCAAAAACTGATTTGAATGGCATTAATCTTAAGTCATGCAGCTTATTTTTTTGTTGTCGAGTTATTTGGGCTTACGATAGCCTCAGTGAACAACACGTGTTTACTTCAAGACGCCATCTGTAATAACCCACATACATCTCGCACGTAACTAACTTGAACAATACTTCATGTAAGCTAACACAACATCTCCCCCCATTGTTCAAGAGTATCTAGGGAACGAACTGAGCTTGAGAAGACTGACAAACAATATATGGAATCTTATAACACAGCGTCATCTCAAACTAAACCTAGATTCCCTCTAACCTTCAGCGATGGTTTTATAATTCTCTTAAGCCTAGTAGCAAGAATGGGTGTTACAGGGGTACTTGAATGTCTCCCTTTGCAACGGGAATGTCCTTCCGAACAGGTGTTGCCGCTTTGTCCTCTGCGGGAACTTGGTTCATCATTAGTGCCGGTCGCTCACGTTGCTCCTGCTGATTTGGCGGTGGAGTAAGGTGAACGCGGTTTCTTCTTATCGTGCTGGTCGGTGTTTAAACTTTATACGACCGAGGTGTTGATGCTGCTTCAATGACTTTTCCTGACCGCTGAAGGTCATCGACGAAAACTTCAGCACCCGGTCCAACTGAAGGCAAGGGCTTGGCTTTATGCCTGGTGTTGAACACCGTTTCCTGCTTCAATTTGCTCATGCTTTCTCGTGCACGCAGGTTATCCAAGTCAGGCCACTGTGGGTACAGCTGGGTGTGGAATAACGGAACGCTGTTCCTAATCTGCCTTCCCATCAGTAACTGAGTAGGAGAGAACTTGCATGCTAGTGGTGTTGAACGATAGGCTAGTAATGCTTTAGCAGGGTCTTTTTCCTTTGTTAGATTCTTCACAGTTCTAACTCCCCGCTCAACTTCTCCATTTGCTTGGGGAAATCGAGGACTACTTTTACTATGCTTGAATGAGGGTCATGAAGAGGGTACCAAATCCCAGTTCCCAGCCCAAATTTTTGCGAAATCCCAGTTCACAGCTTAAATTTGGTCCAAACCCCAGTTACCAAATCTAAAATACCATTCCCAGTGATTGTTTGCAGACTTATGTGTATAATTAACGAAATGCCTAACTGACGTCGTTTGGATACACACATATCTTCACCTGGACTAAAGAAAATCTCTCATTCTTCTGGTGAGCAGTCTTTGTCTTCTCACTGTCTCCACTTTCGCTGCTGCTGTACTCGTCACGTTGATCAGTACAGGAGAAAACCTCCGCAGGCTATTCCTCAGACTCACCTTCTGGACGTTCTGCACTTTCCCCGGCACTGAGCTTTGCGCACGAGGAAGTACAAACTGCAAATCTAATGGATTAAGCAATGTCTGTGTTTCATATAAAGCCAGAAGCAGTGTCCCAGTTCTGTCCTTTGTGTTGTCTTGTCGTACACTTCGCTGCCTTACACACTTGTCGTATTGTTTTGCCCACACTCTCATCTCTGATTCATCATTTCTGGACAATCTTTCTCCCACCGCAGTAGCAGAATGTTCAACAGGGTAGTATGAGTTGGGATGCGTGTAATAATGTGCAGACCATAGTGCCACTCTCTTTGCTCCTTCTTCAACTGATGAACCAAAAATATTCGTAGAGAGTTAATGTTTCCTTCTTAAAATGAGTGACTGCATGTTGGTTCTCAACATTTAACGTCAGGAGTGATTCTAATTCAAGTTCACCTCGAAACCTGGATATGAAGACAGATCTTTGATGTTGTGCTCTACCTTGCGAAGCGATTGTGCCATCAGTTCCAATAGCTTCAAACACTTGTTTGATAAAGTACCCTCTGGCACATCAGTGGTTTCTTTTGCCAAGGACTGTAGCTCTCTTGCCTTCCGTGAGCAATACTTCACGTACTCCAGCACCTCATCCACCATAGCAATTGCTCCATTAACCGACTTATGTGGTTCTCTAACTGTGCATTTTTTGGAATGAATGTTAAAAGCCTTCACCAGGACTTGTAACTTTCTAAAGAACTCTGTAATCCCTGTCAACGGTTTGGTGATTAGTTTGACCGCGCCAGAACCAA